TAGCCCCATGGTGACCCCACTGTGGCCAGGGGTAGGACACGGCCATCCCTTAGCCCATCCCTTAGCCCCGGGTGTCCCCAGGGACAGGAGTTTCCAGGGCCCTGTTTGCTTACCCGGGGAACTCAAACATTGACCCTGGGCTGGCGCCAAGGGAAATATCCGTGGTGAGGTGTCAATTCCCTGAAATCCCACCAAAAAATTGTTTGATGAGAGGATTAACCGGCTTGAGGGGAGCTGTGGTTGGGGTAGGGGCAGGATGGAGTGGCAGCGAATAAGCCCCAGGGGGGTGACAAGTGCCAGCTTGGGGTTTGGCTTTGCTTAGAAACAGGGCCAGCGCTGCCAGGGCACTGTCACTGAGCCGGCTGCCGGAGCTGTCACCAGGGAAGGGGATCAGGGCTGTGGGCTCTGGGGAGGCTGGGAGCAATCTCCCATCCCGTGTCCTTCACCCGCAGGAACGCTGTGTCCTGGGAAAGGCGGATGTTGCCAGGCTCCGAGTGCAGCCTTGGCTGGCGTGGGAGGGCTGGGGGTCGGGTACGTCCCCCAAGCACCCGGGGAACCCATGGGCAGGGGTGCTGTGGGTCCCTCTGTCACAGCCAGCATTTCCCCAAGCTTTAAACCTCCACTGGTACTGGAGAAGCGGCTTCGCCCTACCCTGGCACTCGTGTGGAGTGCTCCCCCCAGTCCAGGCAAACCCCAAAGATCCTCAGCTGCTGGCTGGGGTCTGCCCAGAGCCCAACACAACACACAGCAGCCAGGCTGGCCACAGGAATGCTCCGGTCACCCCTCAGGGACGTGGCCGTGGGTGGCACAAGGCAGCTCCTTGCCAAAACCTGGGAGCCTGTAAGAGCCAAAACCAGGGGCTCAACCCTTCCCACTCACTTCCCAGGCTCTGGGGAGATTTGGGGCCACGGGGCTGCAGCTCTTGACCCACATGCTGCTTACACCTCACTGCATCCTTCAGCTGATAGGGAATGGTGTGTGCCCCATGATGCCACACTCCCCAGTATGGTGTCACACTCCCCAGCACGGTGCCACACTCCCCAGCCAGGGCTTGAGCCACCTCCAGGGACAGAGCCAAGAAGCTGCTCAGGGCTGTGCTCCCTGCCCCTCTGTTCCCATCCACAGCAACAGCCACCCACTAATAATTATATCCCCTAATTGCCTGCGTGGGGCTTTGGTGGCTTTCCTGCGGTTAACGGGGACTTGGGGGCCAGGA